TTGTTGTAATTTTCGTAAGAATTTCTATGTTTTTTTAAATAATACATAACTATATTGAATATTTGTTAAAAGAATTTTTAGAATTAGTTGAGTAGTTTTTGTGTTTATTCATTACAAAGTTATATACATAAAATCAAACCCATTCTCATCATAATATTAATTTATAATATTAGTATAGGTATAGATAATACCTTAACAATGACTTCGTTAATGAAAACGAGATATTACTGCTATTTTATCGTATATTATTTGATTGAATAATTGAAATCATTATTATATTATTACAAAATACACAAAAGCTTAATTCACGGGTAGGCGATAAAGCAAATTCATAGAGTTGATAGTTCCGAGAGGAAATTGAAGGCGATAAGGCGACGACCAGCGCCGCTTACAGTTCCCGAATACGCAGTACTCCTACGAAGTGTAGGGTTGGCGCACGCGCTATTATATAAAATCGAAGAAATTCAATTTCTTTATTGATTTCTAAAATGTTTTGAAAATTCTTACGAATTTCATTATATTTATTAAAATAATTAAGTAAATATTAGCTTTCATCAAGTAATTAGTTATTGTCTGCAAAATTGCTGCGTTGTAGTAGGTTATATACTTCTCCATTCCAAATATTGTTCATACTGCATTTCATGACATGACAATTGGTTAAACCGTTAAAGTGCCAAGAGATAATAAACAAAATTATATTCAAATTTGTAATAATAGTAAGGATATTATGGTAAATATTTGCAATACAATTAAAAATAAATATTATCTGTGTTCCTATAAACAAAGGAGAAAATAATATACTGCCTTTCGATCTCATATTATAAACAAACTATTAGAGAAATAAAACCGTATATTAGATAACCTGATTATTTTACGTATATATGTACTATATATACATTTAAAACAACAAATAGAGTTTCATACCTCCAGTTAAACCGTTTATAATTATTCTTCTCCGTTCAAAGATTACCTGGAAGAGATTGCTCTTATCGATAAGTCCGCCCATTGTTTTTAAAATGTAATAATTTCTTATTATGGTTTATATTTCTCTTAAGTTTATAGTTATATTTTTAATTCATCGACTTATATTTAAACATAAAGAACTAAAATGCGTAGATAGTTATTTTCGGCAAAAAATAATAAGCAAATAGAAATATGTTTGTCGTTAATTAAATTGAACAATTTATACAATGAGGTAATAACAGTAAAACAAAGGTATAATACTTGGCAGCCCTGCGGCTCCCTACCACTCGCGGAAGCGTATCAACATTTCCGGGGGAAATACTACCACCGCATTCTGTTCACTGATTATGTTGGTTTACCTTCCCAAAATATCGGTACTCATATATTTTGTATATATTTCAGAAGGAATAAGTATAAATTATTACCCAATTAATATAAATAAATACCACTGCCTAAATTACATAGCGCATTTTAGTTCCAAACAAAGCTGATTTTATACTATGGACACTAGATAACTGATAGAAATACTAATTTTTTTGAACTAGAAACATTATATATACATAAAATACTCAAATTAATATAAATACAATATACTTATGAATATAAATGTTTGGTATTGTATTCAGAGGTATTGGGAATTAGCGATGTCATACGTGTACATTTTGGAATTAGGTGACTATAATTTTTAGCGTATCAACTTGAAACATATACCATATTTTAAGTTCGATCTTTATGGACAAAATCGTGAAAAGCCCAATTTGGTGCTGTGCCTTTACGTAATGGACTAAACATAATATACAGGGAGACAAAAATTCTAAAAATTGTTGTTTAGGTTTTTTTGATCTTATTAAGATATATACACACACACACATATATATATATATATATATATATATATATATATATATATATATATATATATATATATATATATATATATATATTATGTAATATATATACCAAATATAAAACAAAAGATATTAAACTGAGCCAGCGCTTACTTTCTTTGAAATGTAATTTAATATCAATTAGTTTATTATAGGATTACAAGAAGGCAAAAATTCCTTCGAGTCCACTTAATTACTTCATTCTACAAAGACTAATCCTAATAAAGACTCAAAGCATGAATTTTTAAGATTTCAAAAGAACTCTTAATCTTACCTCGATTAAAAATTCTTTCAAATTTGTACAAAGAATGTTTAAGGAAGCACTTATGCATAATTTAGAATATTAAATAATGTACATTGTCAGAAAGATTGAGTTTTATAATGTAACGTTTTATTTATATTGAAAATTTTGATGGGCAGCTAAACGTTTAATAAAGAAAATATATACTTTATCTAGAATACTGTAATATATTAAATCTAATTGTTATAAATGCTAAAATTTATGGGGATGCGTGGATCTTTATTGCATTATTACACTGTAGTTTTACGTACTACTGTACAAATCTGATAGTTTATATCCAAACCTATAACAAAGTATAATTTATATATTTGACTCGTGAAGGTGAAGCCACCGGGTATATAAGTAGGTATATATACATACATACATACATGTACCTATACATTTTCATCTTCATCAATATCTTTATAGTTAACGTAAAAACTATTCAAGGAATTCGAAATTGTAATGTACGAGGGGAAAATAGGCTCAGTAACCCTTGGGATATACGGGCCCACCTCAAAACTTAGTTGGGAAACAGTAAATTATTCTACTGCCTGAGGTACCCTAGGGACTGAAGAATAACAGAAGAAGGTAGCGTTAGGCAACGAGTAATCGATTACATTTCAGTGGAATTTATTTCATTCTACCATATTTATTCTCTATTTTTTTCTTAATTTTGTAATTTGCAATTATTATTTCAATAAAGACACGTTCAGCTTCACATGGTTTATGTTTTAAATAAAATATACACCTTACTCGCTGATGATGCTTCTTTAGGGGAAATAATTTTTATAATATATATGTTATATAATGGATAAACCATTGCAAAAAAAAATCGAAAGCTTTTGTTTTTGTAATAAAAATTTAATATTTTATCGAGTTTCTGTATATTTCATTAATTATATATATAACTAGATAACTTTACAGACAGAGGGGGAAGGGATTGTTAATAATGGAGACTAAGGGTCCCGTTGCTATCAATATACCCAACCAGGTTGGCTTCTACGTGGTCCCCCCTGGAAACCATCATGCTGAATTCCAGGCGTATTCATCACAACGGGTTAATTGACCTGTCTATTTATTCTCGTCTACTATCACTCACTGAAGCCACGCCAGTGTATACCGACAGTGCAGGCGGGATTACAATTCCATCATCACCCAAAAAAGCTGAACAGACAATATTACATATATTTCTTTTTTTTTCCTTAAAACATTTTTTTATATTTATTATTATAAATACAAAAATATTCCGTCCAGTTATTTATAAGTGGCCACAATGAATAAGAAAGTAATTGCTATCGGTCTATAAAAAATACATACATGCGTACAATATTCGCAAAAGTATTGTTTACGAAATGTAAAATTTTTTTAGTCTATCTTAGAAATTATCAGGAAAACCTTAAATAATAACATTTTCTAATGTTAACCATTAATAATGGAACGAAAAACAACGCACAGTTCTAAATTAATATCAATATTCTCTTACCATTGAAATGTTAAAAGCAGCTATAATTTATATGCGGCACTGACTAATTTCTGCGATTAATAAACCGAAAGAAACGAATAGAGCACAAAGTACCAACATAATACGGAAAAAAACAATGAAGAAAAAAGTATAAAGGGAATAATCTGTTTTGCAAATTATTCTGAATTTTCCTTTTCCAAATTTAAACCCATTGTCTGATACAATAAGATGAATATGATTTTGCGTTTAGTTTAGTCCACGATCATAATTTATAATACGTAATGGTTTTATAAGTCTTAAAGCCTTTTGATTAGTATGCTTGCTTATAATAAATAAAGACGTCTCAAAGTCTATTTAAAACAAGGTACTTAAAATATGCAAATTATGTTAATACATATAGAATAATAAATTTAGAAACATGAACATGAAAAATGTGTGCATTACCATCTAATGGAAAGTGATAAGCTTATCGTCTCCTTTGGATATGAATATTATCATGGATATCACAGAATATCCTGTAACTTTTACGGTATCCCGGGATGTTATTATTACAGAGTAATATTTCAGAATCTTCTAATTTACTACTATATCCCTTTCAGTATAATATTAGGCTTTATTTTTAATAATGATTTTAAAATTATTCGGCCGAAGAACGGAGTTTTATATCTATCTATAACCAGACAAGAACTAGTGACTTGTTTACTTATAATACAGATATATATATATATATATATATATATATATATATATATGACTTTATTGGAAAGTAAAAATAAGAATAGAAGCCAATTTAACAGCCACGATATTACTTGGTGGGACCAGCTTGACGATGTGGTTCCTTTACCTTGCATTTTCAGCGAACTCAAAAGCATGAACATTCTTTGTAAATAGCGCATAGGTAAGTATTAGAATGCAACTATGTACCGGCAATCATAGAGGGAAGGAGCTACAAAGAACGGCTTATGTGTGATTAGATATACTTTGTTACTTTTGGAGAAATTATTGCGTGTGTTATACTTTCACAGTATTCAATTTGAGATTTATATGATGGTGACAGAACTAAATCCTCTTGGTTTTTTTTCTAATATTATAGTAGCAAAATCTTTCCACAGACCCTATTTCCTGCGACATTATGCTGTTTACTAAGCAAACAGTGGAATGCACGCGGCGACGTTGGCCTGGACCGGGGCTTTACTAACTTCACCCGGCCCGCCTTTGCTTCGCTTGTTGCCCGCAATATGCCCGGACCGATTGCTATGTGTTGTATATTTATGTATTCAAATAAAAGGAGAAAGACTTCTTTTTTATTTTACAAATTTATTTATCTTTTATAATCAAACTAGACATGTTTGTCATATACATAATAATAAACGAATAGAATAAGAATATTCGATGTGGTTTAGAAATTGCCATCATTGAATGGGTCATACATGTAATAGGTGTTGGTTATTCCTGAAGATATTTTTGTCTTTTCTTGCAAACAGCGTTAATTTTATCCTCCTCTCCAACTAGTATACCCTTGAAAGAAAATGGCTGAAATACCCATCCACCTCCAGAATAAAATTTACTCATAAATTCAACCCTGGAAGAATCAGTAACTTTAATTTGCACACGTAACATTTAATTAATAATAGAGTAGATATTTCTCTTCTCATTCTTACCAATGCAATCTAAGAGTATGAAGAAATGCCGATAATCCTTCCATCACCACCAATATAGAAACAGTAAATACGGCCCAAATAGCGAATATAATGAAAACTTTTACAGAACCAATTATAGTGTGGTCACTCAATGCCAGTTTTACAAAAATCATCGACCATAACATTTCAGATAGTTCTGTAAAAAATTTTGATAGTAAAGAATGTTTTCTGTCATAGAATATTTTTTATCTAGTTCTAGTATTATAGAAGAGGCAAAATGCTGGGCCACCTTATACGATATGACAATTTTTTTAAAAGCATAGTAGAAGGAAAAATAGAGGGCAAAAGAGGAAGAGGAAGACCGAGGAATAACTACATGGGACAGATAAAAGAAACATTAGGTGTCATGTCGTATGGGGAGGTCAAGGGTATGGCCTGGGATAGAGCTGGCTGGAAGAAGATGCATGAATTAGTTGCACCGACAAGAGAAAACTCTTAAATAAAAGAAGAGACTAGTATTATATTGTAGTGCATATTATTATAGTGGGAGAGAGTGGTACTCGTTGATAACCTTCGGCCATCTACCAATAATATGGCCTAAAACGCTATGAAACTTCTACTAATAATTGGTTATCTAGCTATTTTTTGCGGCTTTACCCACGTACATTTGTATATAGATTACTTTATCGCCAACCATATTCTTAATACGTAGTTATTTCTCTGTATCCAAAGGTTGTTTGAAAGAGATTAATTTTTTCGATAAAGCAGTCCATTGTTTCTCAGTTGGAACCTTTTTTTGTAATTTCTTTTTGTATTTTTATTAAGTTTGCTACTGTAATTACAACAATAATAACAAAGAGTGTCTATCTACTGATAGATACTCTAGATAAAGATAGGTTAAAAGCTACCCGTGCAAGAAATTTCTTTCGAATCCATTCAGCTATTTAAGTGTGATTAACAAACATATAAACATCCTACAAACATATTTATTTATAACACTAATAGTATATTCAAGATACTAACGTGCGTGAGCGAGGGATAACGCCCACAGTCGCAGATACGAGGCTGTATGCGATATTGTACTTAGAACGTACTCGATAGTGTGTACGCCCTGGTGTATCATGAGTTCCCCGAAATTCACATGGTAATTATTCGCTTGTGCTACAATTCCTTGATCAGACTGCTTATCAGAATCCCTCTGTTGATAACTACGAAATTTACTAACTTTTTTCAGAAAACAATATACTATTTTTATATTCTATTTTTTAAATAAAAAAATGTGTCTACATACCAAAAATGTTTAATGTGAGGAGTTCATAAATTATACTACATGGAAGCAAAGGTAGTATGTTAAGGTTGTTAGTATAAATTTTCAGAAATATCCTAGTTACAATGGGATACCGATGTGTTGTAATGCCTCTGTACCGAATAATGTTACTACCATTTCCCAACCTTCAAACCGAAACACTGTCATACAAGCACAGTTGCTTGGGGGTAGTTCTTGTTATATTAACTTGCATTTTATGTCTAATTAGAAAGGATTGTCGTATGTATCTCAAAAGAGACAAAGCTTTGTGTACAAAGGATAAGTATTGAATATATTTAATGTTTATTTAAGTAACTAGTTACTTCTGTATTTGCTTCTGTATTCCTGTACTTACCACAGTATCTCTTCTTTTTCTTTTATTAAAAGTGTAAAGATAAATAGGTTGGCCGAATAACATTACAGGTACGCATAGTAGGGCTATAACCAGCAAAATTTTCTGTACAGTCTGTTGACTTTTAAACATGTATGCTTCACAGTCCTCCTCGACTGGTTTAGTTGTACTTAACAGCACCATGTCAATAAAGAGAATTAGGATTTGTGGTGCACATCCTGCGCTCGTTAAAAGATCTCCTACAATACAATTAAAGTGGTATTTTTTATAGTTCTTTTTTAATTATTATATCATCCGTTAACTGCCCACTGCTGAACATAGGTTTTCTTCATAAAGTGAGGTTTTTCAATAGTAGCCACGCTTAGTACGTAGATTTGCAACCGTAGTTAGGCTTTGGTGATGTTTTAAGAGAAGCGTTGCTGGCCATTCTTCAGGTATTAAGTTCTTTTAGTCGATTCTTACGACAGCCACAGGAAAGGATGGGGTGTCCCATTCTATGCCGGGACCATACGGCATTGTTTAAAATAAAACTGCACACTCAGCCCATCTGATAGTAAGTGATCAATGCAATGGATACTAGAAATGCTAGAAAATTGAATTGTTATCAATATTTTTAGAACGTATAAACTCTTGTCTCGAAGTTTCTATATCAAATTAGATCAGGAACACTGCTGCAGGTAATTTGTTCCACATTTATTGTATGGAGTCAAAGTAAGAAGCACTTGAGAGTACTGAGAGGAAACCTCCAAATAAATTTAGTACCGCATATATTTGTCATGTGAAGTATGCCAATTATATGCATATTTACCAATTATGTTCATTCTATTCTATGTTCTCTTCGGTAGAGTTGGATAGTAAAATACGTTATTCTATTGTTAGTAATTACCTGCGATGTTGTTGACATAGTACTATTTTAATAGCAAGATATGAGTATGTTATTACAAGATTCATAATATGAATCCACATATTATGTAGATCGTAATGGTAGATTGAAGTGGATAAAGGCATAACTTTTATCACAAAGATATTGAAGAGACTGCTTAGATACAGACCGTCTTACAAGAATCTATTTAACATCTGTTTAAGTCCAAACAAAAGAAAGTCTGTCTTATTAAAAATAAAATGTATTTAAAGTAATAAATTTTCTTTATGGGTTTGGAACATAAATTACGATATTTAATCATTCAGATGGAGTGTTGTTAAACTCTGTTTACATAAATACTATTTAAAATTATTTTTGTAGTAAGACTGAGAGAGTTCAAGTTGTAGGGTCTCATCAATTCTAAGGGAATATATGTTTTGTCACGTCGCAACGTGCACGTATTTATGTAATTAGGTATATAGTATGCTTATAAATGGTACATAGATATTGATCTGATTGTTCTAATATGTCAATATGTAGACACTGTTGCATGGTTGCGAGAGAAATTCAATATAACAGATTTTTCTGTTTGTTTATTTACTAAGGTTTATGTATTATTAGAAAACATATAAAGCGGCATACCTATGAAATTATAACCTTAGATTATATAGATAAAGTATTGCGTATAAAAAACTTGTCAATATTTTGTCTACTAATCTGACGTTTGGCCGAGTAATATTTTTTTAATTAAAATAAAAAGCCCTTTTTTCAGTGTTGCACTTGCACTTAGATTAAGAACTTCTCAGATCAAGAAGTAATAATATTCTTTGTTGTGATGAAATATGTATATAGATATAACAACCATACCATACCATTTTAGCTGTTAATTTTTCACTGCTGAACATAGGCCTCCCACTTTTGAGGGGGTTTGTAGTCACTACGGTTAGCAGGCAGGTTGACAGCAGTTTTAGACCTTGGAGATGTTTTAAGAGAGATACTGCTGCTTATCCCTCGATTATTATGTTCCCTTAATCTGCTCTTATGACATTTACGGGAAAGGAATGAGTAGCTTATTTATATGCCGGGCACACATGACGTGTTGCGTATAGATTAGTAATATAAATGAAGTAAATGGGGTAAGTGGAGTAAATAATAAAAACAGTATAAAAAGCAAAATTTTGAATTATTTTAAAATAAAAACATATTTTATGTCTATACCAATATAAATCAAAGTTTTCAATAAATATAAATTAGTTGCCTTTCCCTAAAGGGGGTTTTGCTAGTAGTTGCCATACTTGGCAGGCCGACTGAGAGTTAATCGCCTCTTAAGACACCCACGGGAAAGGAAGAGGTGGCCCATTCTAGGCCGGGACCACACGGTAAAGTACCAAATACTTAGAATTAACTTTAAATACTGATAATCCAATAAACGTACTCAAGGATTGTGTACCCTTTAAAAGTTGACCTACTTTCGGCGTAGCATTTGTATGGAGACTATTTATAGAACCTACGCATATAACATATCAATTCATTCTCAACCAGCGACCAATATAATATATATTGCATCTATAATAAATTCAAATCGGAACATTAAGCATTAAAAAAATTTGACAAGATTACAAGGCGCACTTGCTACTTAAGAAAAAAATAGATATGTTAGTATTATACATATGAATTAGACTCATTACCTATCTGTATTCATAAAAATCAGTTGCCAAATATATATATAAGTGAATGATTTAAAAATGGCAATACTAATTTGGCTATTTTATGTTATTCAACACAAGGTTTGTATAAAAGAAAATATTTGAAAAATCTTACAGAAGTGTGAAATTTTTTTATAAAGTTAAAATAGTAAAAGTACTTTTCCTAATTTGGCCCGATCAGGCGCGAACTCGGGACCTTTTTTTACTCAAAGATTTGCGTCTATTACTATGTTAGGGAGATTGTTATAAGTACATTTCAAAATTGTGTCTAAAAAATTTTAGTAATTGTTTTATTCTTTACTTACGTGATTTACCACTATATGTGAACCACTTGAAGTAAATCATAATAACTAACCAGAGGAAAAGACACACTAGAAATAGTATTTCCGGTATGAATTGCAAATATATTGCATACTTGCGTTTAAAATATCTGTAAAATAAATATTTCTTATATTAATTAGTAGATTTGTTTGTAAAACTAACATGTTATGTTCACTTTGATTATAAAATTAATATCTCTATTTAAAAATACTAAAACTACTAATAGTAATTTTAATATTGATTTACTTTAAATAGGTAGATATTATATTATCATTGTAGACAATAGTGTTATTTTGAATTAGTAAAATTATATTGACATGGTCTTGTTCTAATATTTTTTATCTGTATAAAGAAACTGCAAGCCTCTAATGAGTTAAGAACATGACAGAATCCTAAATGAGAGTCGTCGCAGAAGAAACGAAGAAATTGATAGAAGAATTAGAAAGTTGGAGTAATAACGAGCCAGTAATATAAGTTAACCAAGGATCTCATATGGTGTGTAGTTAGTAGTAGTAGTATAACTTCCAATGAAAGGAGCGACGAGCTCAAATGCTGCAGTGGGTCAGTGGAAAGAAGTGGTTCAGGACCGTTTAATAGAGCAGTGTATGGGAGACGGTTATGGTTAGCAATGTTGAACATAGATAATGATTATAATTTTATTTTCATAATGAACTTACGTATAATTGAATAAGCTGAGAAAAATACCAAACATCATATGAACAATTCCAATTATTATGGACAGCTTCATTTTGATAGAGTTCTCAATCATTATCTTGTTTTTAGCTAGCTGAAAATAATTTACACGAAATATGAATATATAAAATGTTACTACGATCCAAGTGTTAATATTTTGTGTATTATATAGTATATTTTGTAAGTAATTAACAATTTTTTCTTTTGGAAACTTAGAATAGTAAACTAGTTGGTAGAAAGTGGCAACCATTATCCAATCGTATTTTTTATTTATATAGTAAAGGAAACACTAGGCGTCATGTCGTATAGGGAGATAAAGGATATGGCCTGGGATAGAGCTGGCTGGAGGAAGATGCATGAATTAGTTGCACCGACAAGAGGAAACTCTTAAATGAAAAGAGAGAGAGAGAGTAACTGTGCATCATAATTAACATTTGATATATCTTGTTGCTAGGCTTTATATATAAAATGATTTAGCAATTTATTCATATATGAAATTCGTCACTGAAAACTTAATAATTGATTTTCTGTATGCCCAAGGCTATTTGTTTATTTTATTACTTACAACCTACTTTCGTTTGGCACGGATGTACATTAGAAAGTATTTTATGTAAACATTCAGTAAAAATGTCTAAATGATAATGAAACCCATATCAATATTCGTTTTAAATATGGGTTAGAAGAAATAAACTGAGAAACAGATAGAGTTGGACTGGGACGTAGTTTTATACTATTTAGAAATTTATTTTTCCTGCGACTTCATACACGTGGGTTATGAAAGTATTTAAGTGTATATATTTCCTCGACAAACATAAAATATATCGTTTTAATAAACTTTATATTTTCAATATTTAGGTATATAAAACACACATATATCCACTGCCAAAGAAGACACAGTTGAAACCGAACGTGGGGTGAAGATTTCCTAAACAGCAAATACTGCAGAAATAGTTCACAAATGATTGCTGATATAATATGAAACGCAAAAAGACAGTATTACGTATATTTATTTATACAGGAGAACCAGAGCTAGACTTCTATAAATATAAATAGACTAAGATTACAAATTAAGCCACTAATAGGTTCTCACAAATAGTGACAAAATAGATTGGCGGTACTACATATGAAGCAACAGAAGTAGGAATGAATAATAAATTAAGGAATGAAAAAAGGTATGGTATAACATAAACCAACAATAATAAAATTTTTGTGATAACTGTATATACATATATATAAAGTCAAAACAAAAATATAACAAAAGATATATAACAGAAGAGTGAAGATAGCTGTCTATGACTATTTTTTGTATTAATAGCAGACACTTTGGGTCGATATACAATGTCAATTGTCGAAATAATTACTTACTGTCCAAATTGGATCTATACCGAACATGTAAACTGGTCCCGTCTCATCTTTAGGATCCAGTTGAATTGTTGAACTTGCTGCAATTTGTTCTAAGCTTAAATTGTTGATCCAATATGGGTCCATAAGTATTATGGCTCTTGAAAACCAGTCGTTGTATATGAATCCAGCGTACATTGAAAACACTCCCATCAACATAATCACGTAACGTCCTAACAATAAATAATATGTATTAACTACCAAATTAGCGAATCCAAGTTAAATTCGTACAGTTTTTTTTAAAATACAATATTTTATTCACTGATAATGAAAACTACATAATATTTGTTATGTATTTTTTAGTTTTTCTATTACAAAAATGCAAATTCTCATATTCGTAATATTAGTTTAGATAATAAAATTGAATCCTAGAAAGCTAAGTCGAGCATTTATTGACTATTGCTGTTATTTGATTGTGAACGAATACTCGACATGTCCACATTTCGTTGCGTATATTTGAAACTAACGAGACTGCGAATCCAGTGCTTTCTCTCGGATTAATTTGATTTGCTAACGGTGTTTTACTTTGTCGTAGTGTTAGTGGGAAATTTAATTTACACACATAATATAAAGTTTTGGTGTTGATTACATTCAAATTAACGACCTGGTACTATGTCTTTAAAACCCACGTAATTTAATATAATACACTCAAAATTTCTATTTTGAGCCCATAATGTATTTATAGCCCATTGTTAAATATTACCAAATTTATAGAAATATGTACTTAACTGTAATATCGTGAATGTACGAAAGGGTATAATCTAAATGCAGCGAGAATATAAATAACCAAAAAGATACAAAGAGGCCCTTATGATACGATTACGTCCGTCCGTCTGTCACAGCGCTATATCTGAGCAACTACTAATGCTATCGATTTGAAATTTGGAATAATGTTATGTATTATTGACTTGCACATATTGCAGTAAAAAAAATTTTAATATTTGTATTTTCTTTGCTAGGTAGCTCAAAACAGATACTCAAAATATAAAAATTAAATTTTCTAGTCCAAGTGGGATATTATATGAAAGGGGTTAATTTGTACATTTTATAACTAATTTTTAATTATTTTTATTTAACGTATTTCTTAAATTACAATTGAAAATGTAAGATAATGAAACCAGCTTAATTTCGAAGTTTGTGAAACGAAAAATTCGAAATAATTACACATTATCAAATAATAGATGCTAAAAAAAAAAAAAAACTTTTAAAAACATTTAGTTATGTCGTTCCGTTTTTAAGCACAGTTATAAACCAAAATAAGAAATTATAAATTATAGTATCAATGCAGTATTAGACATGTATTTCGTATAAGGAATTCAATAAAGGTCATTGTAACGTTATATATATTTGTGTACAGAACCCACGGTGTGTTTTACAGGGAATACAAACTACATGATTATTCACTTAAATATATGAGAGAGGTGGAAATCTACAAATAGATTTGCAATGTAATCATTATAAAATACCTCCGAAAAATATATTCCAAATTTCATTTGTTGATCTTTGCGCTATAAACTTTTTTTCATTGAATATCATCCAAAGTCCAAAAACTACCAATATTATACCATGACATATATCTCCAAACATCAAAGAAAACAAAAAAGGAAATGTGATTATGGTATAAAGTCCTGTGAAAGAAGAAAAACATAATATTATAAAATAGATAACATGCAACGAAAAATAAGAAAAGATACTTACGAAAAATAAAGGGATAAGTATAAGTAGATAATAAAAAGTAGAGAGACTATTACTATACTATATATATACTATATTCCGATGATATGTGGGTGACCATTTTTTGCCCGTGAGTTTGGTATTACTACATACAATAATTGCATGTTGTAATTTTTTTTTGTTGAAAACGGATTGATGAAAAATATTTTCTGTTGATATTTTAGAAAGGATTAAAAGAGGGGGAGGGTAGTTTGCTGTTAATAAATAGCTTTTTAAATATGTTTATTAACCAGCATAAAAAGTAGCTTATATTCTTTTATATTCCATATAGAATGTGTATAGTAAATTTTATAGCGACTGGTTATGCCATTAAGATGCTATATATTAACAAACAAACATAGTTTCAATATTATAAGGATAAATTAAGATGCTTATGATAAAAATCAGCTCTAGCTACAAATTAACAGTCACTATATCTCATAATGCTTATATTATAAAATAGGGCAAAAAATATTATTACTTTAGCTAAAGCTTAATAAAAAAAAAAACTAAGTACCTGGATTCAGTTCCCTATATGTAGAATCGCCATAAGCATTTATTAGCGCTTGAAATCCTTTCGTGAACCTATTGGTGCGATGAAATGTTGGAGGCACTGCGTCAGTGTCTCTCTTTGACATGAACGAATATACGTTTGTACCGACCATTTGCTTTAAAAAATAAACATTTGTGAAGTACTCTGTAAACTGGTTTATATTTGTTTTTATTTCACATATCTAAACAAAACTTATGGCTTAATTAAAACATATTTAGCTGATACCATTTCTAAGGGCTTATGATATTTGTCTTAATCAATTTTATTAAAAACTGCCTCAATGTATAGCTGTGAAATTCAAGTTATCAAAGTTAGCTATTGCCGTATTCAATATGCCATATAATCACTTGTCGATTGTCGCTGTGTGTATTAGAATTCAACTCGGCAGGATTGAGCCGTTACTTCGATTAATTTAGTTTTTTTTTGTGTTTTATACCACAAGAGAGATAGTCTTAAAATTAAATTGATACACAAAGCTGCGAAGTAGGCTCTCTATTACACACATGGCAATTTTAAATTATATTGTTTTATTTAGTTCTAAATGTTACACTTTAATTAGATAACAGGGCCTGTCTTATAGTACTTACTATTAAGGTTCCGTAGTTCTTAGTATTATCATTATTTCATCATTATCATTTCAGCCATTATTTGTCCATTGTTGGACATAATCCTCTTTTTTATATCATAGATTGTCATAAAGAACGGTCCTAAGCCACCTGCATCCAGTGACTTCGTGCAATGCATTTCAGGTCGTCACTCCATCTGGTGGGGGGTCGTTCTAAACTGCGTTTGCCCATACGGGGTCGCCACTCAAGAATCAAGGACCATGCCTTTTTAGTAATATTAGTATATAATACGAATATTATTAAAAATATACAGAACAATCACAATTTGTCATTATTGAAGTCGTTTTTAGGGTTCTGTACCAAAAAGGTACAAAGGAGCTCTTACATGTGTGAGTGACTTTGTCCATCCGTCCGTCAGTCCATTAGTCACAGTGTTAAATTTTAGCAACTATTAATACTATCGATTTAAAATTTGGAATAGCTGTACATATTGTTGGCCTGCATATATTGCAACGGATATCATTAAAAAAAAAAGCTAAATATTTTTGACCGTTTTTATTTCTTATTATTCTTTTTTTTTTTACAACACAGGGGGCAAACGAGCATGCGGCTCACCTGATGCTAAGTGACTACCGCCGCCCATAATCACTCACAACACCAGCGGCATTGCAGGTGTGCTACCGCCCTTTTAAAAAGGAATATACTCTTTTCTTGAAGGTTATGTTGTCGTATCGGTTCAGAAATACTGCTGTTGGAAGTTAATTCCAAAAAATGGTTGTGCGTGGAAGAAAGTGCCTTGAAAAACGCACGGTGGAAGACCGCCACTCGTCCAGATGATTGGAATGAAACTTTAGTTTGTGGTGGGTTGTACGGTGGTGAAAATTAGCAGCAGGTATCAATCCGAATAATTCCTCAGAACACTCCCCATGATAAATTCGGTAGAAGATGCACAGAGATGCAACATCCCTGCGCAGTTTCAGTAGGTCGAGGCGCTGACTATCAATAATTTGAGCCGCCCGACTTTGAATGCAAGTTTCTAGCTTGTTTTAATTGTACACGAAGACCTCACTCGATCATAGTATTAGTATTACATATTATAGCAGTAGATTCTACGATACTTTTTTATTACTTGGGTTATATTTATTTAATAATTTATGACTTTCAAAAGTTAAAAACATAGAATCACGACATACGGAGCATGTTTCTAATCCTTCATGAACTTGAGTCGCATCTCGATCTGCTATCCAACATTGACCAATGAGACATTTTTTTGTAATGTCCATATTAAAAAAATTCAAATTATGATAAATGGCTTTGGCTTTTTTTACTTGCACCGTCAAAGGACGAATCTGACGAGCAATTGTTCTCAAAGTTTTACATCGATGGAAGGCAGTTTTTTTCAATACCTAAAAAATTTATAGACTATTTAGAACCATTCCTTGTATAATAACAATTTAAAATTAAGAAGATTATTATAAATCATCAACATCATATCAATCGTTTTTGCCTAATAACTGTGTTTGGCTATATTATTTTATTTTACTTTATATATATTTTCTACCTATGTTTTAATTTTTTATATTTTATATATTATACGAGTATAATTTAAACGTAAGCGTAAATGTTTCTGTAACATAATTATACTTCTGTGGGTAATACCTGATAATAAAATAAATTTTTTTTCAAAGAATTCACATGTCCCCTCTTAAGGAGAGGAGATGGCAAACTAATCCCCGGAAGAAGCACAGTCGGCCGGGGTTCAAGGCTCCAGGGAGAGAAACCAGCGTACCATGCGAGCAGTATCTAAGAGCACCGGTTTCTGCACGTTTCCCGGGAGTGAGCCGCCTCGGAATCCCAACCGTCTGAGGTGTGGTTCCAGACTAATTGAGATAAGACCGTTCACCGACATAAACATTCTTTGGAATTTTAGACTACAAAAGTAGATAGGAGTGATGATATATATATATGCATTTAATGATATGAGAAGATCGGGTGTACTCTCTTCTTTGAAGAATATTTAAATGCACAAGAACACTTGAAAATCACCACTGCTCACGACGACGCCGCGACGGATTGCGAAATACAAATAAACATAAATTACTGTTGCTTCAATACTCAAACAAATACGGAAAATTTGCCTTGGAATATATAACTCCGGGTCATAGTAACAAAATTCCCCTATTATTGAAGTCACAACTAATTAGACAAAATATAAAGAACAAAATAAAAATCACTTTATTAAGAATTTGGCACACAGTTGTACATAGATAGAAAGATAATATTCTGTATTAGATTTAATGGTAAATTTTTGGATACTTTGGGTTACATTATAATAATTTTAGTAGGAATCTTAAAATATTTTTTCGAGATAATATTAATGTATTCTTTGTATGAAAAATAAATAACTCTAAATCTCATATAGTACAAATCAGTAGTCCCAAGCTAATTCAAAGAGTTACGCGAAACGCTAGCATCTATAAATTTTGGTGAAGTAGTTATCCCCGACAGTGCATCAGTAAAATATTTACATATAATTTTTTACAGTTCTCTTACTCAATTCTTGGCAGCCACAAATAGAAACTGTCAGCAAAAAAAAAAATCTATTATTAACTAATTTGAGCACCTTCAAAACGTTTTAATTAGGTTGTTTCTCAGTTTCTAGCTAAGTTCAAGTGCTTTCCTATTCGTTTTTGCTGGAATATGCTTTTTAAATCTTCTTTACCTCGCTACCTAAAGAGCGGTTTGACTGCAACATTCTGTCGACTCTCTTATTCTGTGACCTTCTGGGGGCCTCCAGCTATGGAATAGTTTACTAGTTCCCATACGAAATATACAATATTTGTCGAATTTTAAAACAAATTTCGGATTTTTATGTGAGCAAGTTGTTATCTTCTTAATGTCATCATGTGGTTTGTGACAATGTACATGTTGTCGTTTGGTCATCATACTTATTTCTTTAGATATCTAAAAATTTTATAACTTAGTGTTTCATATATATATATATACATTATTGCATGAATCTGCACATATACTCCTCTCCATCTAGAAAGAGATGAAAAGATCGTTTTTAGCGATAAGACCATCCTTTGTTTTTTTTAATGCGATCACTTCTTGTAATTATTTGTATCCATAATAAGTTTCGTTCTTTGGTGGTAACAATAAAAAGAATCTATCTATATACTCACCTATTGAAAAGCACTATTGAGTTCATTGAACATAATATTCGAGTCTTCCAGGGGTACAGACATGATTACTATATCATCGGCAAATCAAAGGCAAGTATTCGCTATTGACGTTTATACTATATCTTCTAATGCAGCTGTGAAGAGTTTCAGGAATATGATGTCACTCTATTTTAAACCTTTCTGCACAGTGTTGGGTTTCGTACTCTGATTCTATACTCAAATAGATATCGTAGCTTTACTGTACATACATTTCACTATTTCGATATCCCTATAGATAACTGACACCGCTGGAGAGTCTCTACTACCGCCCAAGTCTCGACCGAATCAAAGACTTTCCACAAATGCCAGATATAGTAGCAGATAATACTCTTCGGTTTTCTGTATAATCTGCTGTAGTGTATGTATGTGATCCATGATATTAAAGCCCTTTCGGAAACCAGATTGTTAGAGTTATTATTATAAATATTTAATAATAATTACAAGATTTTATCAAAATAACGTGTCGCTACCACTCTATAATCCCATTTAAAAAATATTGTTTATTATATAAAAAGCGTTGTGATTTTGACCAGTATAGGGATATGTGTGTTCACCTGTTTCCCCCTGACTTCTAAACTCCATATCATAATTTACAAATGAGGTTATCGTCGGAAGCGTTTTGATAGCCCGCTGGTTACAGGATATGTGACGTCACATTAAATTATCGACGGATGGCTATCCTCTGAACATCACCATGAATATGTATTAAATACATTAAAATATATTACGTGTAAGTTGTTTATTTATTGATTAACACTAGTTTATTTTGTAAATAACACTTTTACATAAGAATATTTTCCTGTTATATACTTTTTTTTTGTGTATAATTTTGATCTAATATGTTACTCTAAAATTATTAACCGAATTCAAAATTTTTTCACGTATCGAAAGCTACATTATTAGGAAGTTAGATAGACTATATGTAGCTAGTAGTATATTTTAGTATTAGAAATAACTTAGTTTCCTAAATTATTTACTTATGCAAAGTCGGACGAACCGTTAATAGTAAATACAATTTAACCTGTTTTATGTCTAGGAGTCTAGTGCCCAATTTGTTAAGCATATCCGTTCTTTCTTCATAAGTTTTAGGACAAGGGTAAAGGTTGACACGAAAACCGTTACAGATTTTTTCCATTCGGCGTTTTAGCTCTTCTCCTTGGCAGATGGCTAAAAATGCAACTTTTCTAATTTCTTTAATCTGTAACATTTTAATATTGATATTTCATGTTTATAACAAATTGCAATTTGAGAATGCAAAAAGCATGTCACGTATGGGCACCACAGAATATCAGCGCTGTAGCAATTAAATTGTTGCAGCACATGCTGAGTAGTGACCACGTTGGCAATAATAAAAGTAGTTTTTTTTAATTCATAATTTATGTAACTTTTTGTTGTTGTCAATAAATGTTTTTTCTTTCTTTCTTTCTATACATAAGTATATAGTACATTGACTGAGCTATCTTTACCAATTGGAGACTAATTTTAATGTGTGTTATTAATTAAAATGGTTATTATTGTGTAATATATAGTTTTGACATCGATTTAAATACATATGTTTGTGTGAAAGTTCATCATTATATATAATATCTGTTAGGGGTCAAGTCGACCTCTACGTGGTTATCACTGGAAATCACTGTGACGAATTCTGGTGAATTGGTCTCGTTGGATGAACTAATATGATGTTATCCTTAGCTATTATCTCTGATTGGTGCCCGGCTAGTACAAACTGATAGCGCAGGCGGAGTCATCATTTATTATTAGTTATTACTATACAAATTATCATTACTTAAATATACATCAGCGTTATAAATTTTTATCATTTCACTTACCGAATTAGGTTGTCTGAAAATTTTATCATAAGTTGCCTGTTTATAGTAAATATTTCCACGAGAGATTCTCCACAACATCATTTCAAGGTTAAAGCATATTTTACGTCTCACCACACCTGTAATGATCATCAATTGGCCCCCGAGGCCAATATCACCACCACTGCTGGTTGTTACTTTTCTATAAAATAGTGTAATCAGTATAAGTTCTTTAATGATATTACTCGTAAGTATGCTTAAGGGTATTTCTCTGATTTGGTGCAAATTACATGACCGTAAATTTTTTAAAGAAACTACGTAAACTAAGTCCTTCAAATATTTTTTTTTTTTACAAATTATAGTTACATACGGATATGTTCCAAGTAAAATAACCAGTTATTGAGTTAAATTAATAAATGAAAATCATATTTTACATTTGTAAATTTCATTACATTCATTGTTTTGCTCTTGATAAGTGAAATAAAGTAAAAAAATAAAATTCAAGCTTATACTATTTAATGGAATACCGTAAGTATAATAAGGAATATGAAAATATATTAATTTCATTTTATATTGTGTTTACAATATGTGAGATAGTTAACTATCTAACTAACTTTAAACCTTAGAATATGTAATTAATAAAAAATATACATGATTTCATCAGGTTTATTTAAATGATATTAACATTTAAATTGTTTAAAAAATGGACATGAGAAAAAATAGAAAAAAAATATAGGTATTTGTTATATTTTATACGAGACTAGTTTTTCCTCAATATTTGTGATAATATATACCTACTGCTACTATATTTTTTCCTTGTGTGATTAAAATGATTTAAGTTACAGGATGGAATAATTGGGATGTAAGTTGCATACATTGCTTCTGTTTTTTTTTATTTATTATTATATTATATATATATTTTTTTTATTTTACATATTTGAGAAACAGACGGATACGAACAGCGACCTAGTTTTACTTTATTTTAAATATTACAAAGGGATTTTTTGATTTCTAATACATGCATGGGTAAAGGAATAGAAGAACATAGAAAATACAATACGATTTGCATCAAACGGTGCGCATCGGAGCGTATAAGTGCGAATACATTGGGAGTCGATTGCGTACGAAACTGAAAATGTGCCGTTTTCGAGAGTCACAAAATGTTCATGTACTGTGGTTCCAAAAGCGACTGATCGTATATGGTCTTTTTTGTATCTAATATTATTTAATTAAATGGTCAAGGGATGGGCAGCAGCGTCCCTCTTAAAAGACTAACTGCGGTTGCCAACCCGCTTGCCAAGTGTGGCAATTACTGCCAGTTAACGCCTGATATGACGATCATTATTATTATTTTAATATATATTATGTAAACAATATCACATCATTATTATCAGAGTTAAGCTCGCCTTTGTACTTTTGATTACCTCTGTCTTATTTTTATAACTAGTGTGTACAATAAAGAATTAAATAAATAAATAAATTTCCAAGTAAATTCTACTAATATTACAAATGTGAAAGTTTGTAAAGATGTTTAGAAGTTTGTTGATCAATCACGCTTAAATGGTTAGATGGATTTGAATAAAATTTGGTATACGAGTAAGCTATTTTCTAACTTTGTTTACATTAAGGTACTTTACGTACTGATGCACGAAGTAAAGTTGCGGAGAACAGATTATATTTTGCGATCATTCGCTCGATAATAATTACATTATTAATAAAAAAATATGTCAATCCATTCTTTTTGTTCTAATACTCAATACTTGTAATGATTTAAATTATTTTTCGAATAAAACATATGAGCTAGTTTGGAGTGCTCGTGAGTTTTCAACTATATGTAGACATAAATTATATATTTTTATTTACATATATAATTACTACTTTAAAATTAAGTTTCTTTAAAAAAAACTCAAATTCTAGTTGATAACTACATTCGATTGCGTAATTAAATACTACTTTAAAATTAAGTTTTTTAAAAAAAAAAACTCAAATTCTAGTCTACATTCGAATGCGTACTAATGTAAGCTTGAAACGTAGTACTAAGTTTAGCACCTGTTTAGCCAATACGAGTATAATATATAAATTTTGTATAGTTTCATTAGCGGGTTATACGAAACAAATTGTTATTGTTAAAAAGTAGGATTTTAAAACTCTTACTTAAATAAAATAGATTCTCGTCTTAACTCAGTATCTCCTAACATAGGGCCGATGTGTTCTAAAACATAGTACATTTCTGACATCTCAATGTAGTTCTTCATAAGGTTAGCTTCATTTGTTGCCATTTCCACGATATCGTTTTCCCATTTTTCCAACATATTCTGTGTAATACATTAAAAGCCGATAATAATTATAACTTATGAATATACGAAACTTTATACCTTATCTTTTTAGAAGGGTTAATAAAGAAATAGTAACTGCCGATATATGATGGCAGAGTCCCACAAAAGAATGAAGTAAGGATAAGATAAGGATGAAGTCGAATCAGTTGATATATTCAATGATAACTTAATTGTATATTACAACATAAAAAATAACAATATTTTTATTTCAGACGAAATATGTATTAATTTTAATTAAGTATTAAATTTAGAATATAAATAGGGTTGGCTGTTTATACTCGTATTATATTGATTTTAATAAAACAACTTTGTTTGACGCTATTGTCATATAGTTGCATCCAGAACTATCTTTTAAAAAAGTAACTTGAATAATTCGTTGCTTATAGAATTTACCTCATAAGTAACCATCTCATTTGGCTGCAACGGTTTAGGGTCGGTTTTCAAGTGAGTTATGTGAATGTTATCTTTTAATATTTCGCTTTCTATAAACGTCAGTTTCCTTTCCATTTCAGCGCAACGGCACATTTCCGATACGTAATTTTTCTGAAAGGGCTGCACATCGGGGTTCATCTAAAATCAATATTATTTAATAATTACATTACTGGTGGTTGATTTACTTGGGTAGATATATCTATTACCATCCAAAGCGTCATAATATACACTGTCGTATATTTTTTAAGTATGAAGTTAGAGTGGTTCTACCGCTTATGCTAAAGGTTAAAGGAAACGCCAGTGGAGGATGAATTGGTGAGGATGAACACGAGTCAGTTGACTCATCATGAATTTGCTGAGATTTGACTACGATAGAGTTAAAGGAACCACGTGAAAATCCACCAGTGTTCACTATTAACAATGGGCCTGAAGTTCCATCATTAACAATCTTTTTCCGTGCACACTGTTCTATTTCTGTCCGATATTTGTAAGCTATTTAATCTCTGATTCAAGAAGCCCGTTATAAATTATTTTCACGACTATAATCCCTAATGGGATAGCCGGAGGCATTTGTCAACTATTTCCAGACAGATTAGTAGAATATAGGGATTTATTTCTAGTTTTTATGGTAGTGGTAAATAAATAAAACACAGTTTGTCATTGGTGTATTTGTGGTGAGCTGTGCTTTATTTTTTTAATTTCCGTTCACAAAAATCTGAATAAAAAAAGGGAGATATATCTATATTTATTATATTTAAGAACATATAAATATTAGATAAGAAAGGATTTTTGAAAATTTCAAATGCAGGGAGAAACTCGATGCCACGTGTGCACAGCTGTGGGAAACAGCTAGTTAATTATATGATATTAAGTACCCTTGTCTTATAATATAAACAACAAAATTATAAATGAAATACTCTTACATCCAAGAACTGACAACAGCCCAAGTTTCCAAGATAACACATCGTTTCAAATGCTGCCTCGGGTTGGACATACATATCAAAAAGTGACATAGGGTCACTTCTCAACATACAACCCATTTTGATTCACTCTGAAAATGTAAACTAAAAGTTATCTTTGGTTATGTTTTTTTTATATATGGAAATGAAATAACATCCTGTCTGCGCTATTGGTATATTATATTATATATTAAAAAAATAATAGGCAAGACGGTTGACCGTGACCGGAGATCGATACGAAATTCTTAGAATTAATTAGAACAGGTTTCAGGATATCCGAGTAGAGGTAAACTTCATAGTGTGTATTACTAGTTATGGGATTACTAGTCACCATTATAACGTATGTGTGTTTCTGTAGTAAGTGATTTATCTGGCATTGAGAATGAGCTATTTTAACCTCAATATATTATTACAAAATGTAAAGAGACTCGTTCAAAATCCTATAAATCCATACGAGTAATCAGAATGTTAGTTGATATATTAAAATGAATCAATTAATATTCTCCAGTAACGAAAAATGACCCGGACTAAGCTAACACATAGATAATTTCATTGTATACATAATAGCAACATTGTAGAATATCATTACTTTTGATGTAAACATTTATTCATGGTCTCTTGTGATCATGCAGTGGTCTCTACTTGTATAAAGGGAAAAGACGTAGAAATGTATTCGCAAACAAAATGCATACAATATTGCACTTCTGTTTATATGATGTGAATCAAGACCTGGATATTATTGAAATGATAGTCGAACGCACTACAGTATTTTTATGAGATTTAAATAGTGACTTGTTTTTCTGAAACGGCTTCAATTGAGCGAAACTCGTTGTCTTCTATTTCAGTACTTTGGTAAGCATTATGTAAACGCAATACTCTACACCTTTATAATCCACTTACAAATAAAGTTGTTACAAATTATCTATCAATACCAGAACATAAATGTTAAAAGTAGTTAACAAAATTATATAAAACAATATTGTTATGCTTGATATTTACTTACCAGTGTATGACAGCTTATGAATTTTTATGTGTATTTAGTAATGGCATTAGGAGATCAAAGAATCATAGATAAAGAATAATAAATTATAATCACTATTGAAGTTTCGCATTGGCCATATATAAAAAAAAAGGATCAAAATGTTACACTATATCTATGATCGATTGACCTACGCACAGATATATATCTGTAGATCTACGAGATAAATAAAGCTAAATAGTTCTTTGCTTTTCCCATTGTGAATAAATTGATAATACTACTACTATAGATAAATAGAGAGATAGATACGGTTTATTGTTGTCTTTACTAAATATAAAAATACAAGAAGTTAATTGCACTGAGAAAACAATGGGCGGCATAATTGTTTATTTTTTTTTATACAACTTAGAATGCCAAACAAGCTGACGGCCCACTTGATGTAAAGTGGTAACCGTCGCCTTTAGACATGAGCAGTACCATGGACATAACAGAGTATACTGTTTCGCCCATGATACTCCCCATGCGTTGCCACTCCTGAGGACTCAGGTGTTATTCCTCTGTACCCAGTAATTTCACGCCATATCTCACCCTTCAAACCGAAACACAGCCATACAAATACAACTGCTTCACGGTTGAAACACGAATGGGACAGAGGTACCCAAGCAATCGACTTTTGTACAAAGTCTCCCTCTGGTGAAGTGAAGTGAAGTGGTCTCCTTAAAAGTGATCTCTTTCAGGCAACCCTTGCATGGAGAGGAGTAACATAAGTAACACTATTTTTTGTACAAGTTATTCTAAATTGCATAAAAAATACGATGGTCTATCTGATAGAAAGTGGAAACTGTTTCTCGTTGATATGAATAGTATCATAGACATGACCGAGTATAATGCACCCATAACACCTTTGACAAGTTACCATTTCTGAGGACTGAGGTGTTATGTTTTAGTGCTTTGTAATTTCATTGCCTTTCGATTTGTGATTTGTGTCTCCACCATGTTTCGATTTCGAAACATGGTGGAAACACAAATAGGACAGAGGTACAAGAAGGCTACTTTTGTACAAAGTCTCCTTCTCATCGTCATCATTACAGCTTATAACTGTCCACTGCTGAACATAAGCCTCCCTTTAATTAATCATAATTATTATTTAACCAATTGTACTAATTCCAATAATAACATTTAAATTCTATTATAATAAATTTGAAATGAGTACTAATATGTTTAATGATGCTCTGAGTCAAAATATATTATCCTTCATACAATATACATTGGTCAAAACATGCATTGCTCCAGCAAATTAATATTTTTCTGGCTCTTTATGGTTTCAATTCTCGTTCTGTTTACAAGTTAACTATTTGGAATTAAATAATATTTTTTTTAAACAGAAAGTACAACTTTTTAGGTAGAAATTTCATATAACAGTTTTTAATCCCTAATAAAAAGCGGATTATTTTTCAGGAATTTTCCTCTTAATAAATAAGTGAGTAAGGTGGCGTAGGAATTCTATATAAATTGTATAAATATATAATTTGTAATAGAGTGTTCACATAGCAACAAAAAAAAAAAGAGAAATAATTTATTAGAATAATTTTATTTTTATTAACACCAAACAATATATAAGTATTCTTCCTTAGAAACGTTTATATATGTATTTCTAAGTTATACGTTAGTTAGATATCTAGTTTACAGATAGACATGTAAAAAACTAACTTGTGTATGTTACATGAATTTTCTGTCATTCATATCATATACACACAATCCAATAAAATAAAAAGCGAATTTATCTATATCTCAGAATAATCAAGATTTTTTAAAATTTTAGAATTTGAAGTTTAAACATTCAGTTATTGAAATGCTGCATTCTTTTTTATAGCACTGCTCTTTGTTGATATACCAGACTTCTTGCTTATTATTGATTTGGTATCTACTTTATCATCATCGTCCGGTTCGGCAATGCTCTCCAGAGATATTGCAGGCGTAGACGTGACATTGGCATCACTGTATGTAGTTTCCCGGGGTAGATAAATACCAAAGCGGTCCTGCCGTCAACGAAATAACTTATTGATAAAGATTGAAACATGTATATAATGTACAATTTATACAAAATAATAACAATAATACAATAATAAAGCATACAATTTATAAATAAAATATAATGTAACATTTACCAGCCGCGCGGTCTCGGCATGGAACGGGCGACCTCTACCTTTTCCGTGGGTGTCGTAAGTATCGACTAAGGAAACTTAAAGATGGGCAGTAATATCTCTCTTAAAAAAATTACCAAAACCTAGCTGCGATTGCCAACTCACCTGCAAATCGTGGCCACTATTGGCGAACCTCGCAATTAAGGGAGGTCTATGTTCAACAGTGAACAGTTAACGCTAGAATGATGAATGATGCACATTTACCAGAGAAAGACATTGTACAAAAGTCAATTTCTTGTGTACCTATGTCTCATTCGTGTTTCTACTGTGAAGCAGTTGTGTTTGCATGGCTGTGTTTCGGTTTAAAGGGTGGGATATGGCGTGAAGTTACAGGGTACAGAGGAATAACACCTGAGTCCTCAGGAATGGCAACGCATGGGGGGTATCATGAGCGAAACAGTATACTCTGTTATGTCCACGGTACTGCTAATGTCTATAGGCGACAGTTACCACTTTCCATCAGGTGGGCCGTCAGCTTGTTTGCTATTTCTAAGTTGTATAAAAAAAAACAAAAATAAATAAACAAGAAAATAGTGTATTTATTATTTCTTTCGTTTTGCACGCATCTCCATCAGTATTATATACCATTGCATAAAAAATCTTGTCATCATTGTAAAATATATATATATATATATTCTTCTCATTATTCTTGAAAAAGTGTCAAATATTACCAATATTTAGGTCGATAAATACAAATGACAGATAAATACAAAATTATGTTGGTATTCTGAATAATATAGACTCAAAAGTATGTGTAGTATGTGATGTGATACAGATTTAGAATACCTTGTTAATCTAATATATAAAATTCTCGTGTCACGGTGTTTGTTATCAAACTCCTCCGAAACGACTTTACCGATATTTATGAAATTTTGTGTGTATATTGGGTAGGTCTGAGAATCGGCCAAAATCTATTTTTCATACCCGGCAATGATAAGGGTGACCCACCCCAAATTTTTTTTTTATTTTTTTGACAATTTTTTTTATTTTTATTTTATTATAATTTAGCATTGAAAAATACATACAAATTTAAATTTTCATCGTTTTACGATCAACCCCTGTATTTCAATTGCGATTTTTATATTTCGCAATAAGTGGTAAAACAACGTTTACGGGATTAGCTAGTATTTAATAAGAGTTATATATACTCTCAGTAGAAAGTATATTTCAATGTTCAAAACTTGTACTAAGCAAAGAATCTATTACTACGTCAAGGTAGATACCGGCGCTGATACCATTGTGTGTTATGTATGATAAAATAAACTAACTGGTTTCGTGGAGAGTTATGTTGTACCCAGTTTGAAGTATTTTAGTATATTAGTAAATTTCTTATTCTTATTCTAAATTAATCACCTTTGGGTATCTGTTGTACCGGAGTTGAGGATGGCATACACAGGGACGCGGCGGCGGCTTCATATAACTTTCATGTGATGATATCTCACTTTTAGGTGTTGTTGGTGTCTCGTATCCTATTTAAGCATATTAATAACGCCAAAATGTATTAAATTATAAAATTTTCAATTTAAATTTAATTAAATATCAATGCCCCTACTCATATTGAAACAAAATGATCATAAGAAAACATCTAGGTAAAGAGGTTAGTGAATACATTAATGATTTTTTAAATTAAATATAATTAAATGTCAATGTTATAAGAGAGCGGTGGACGAGGCGATAAACGATGAAGACATGGATTGTAGCAAAGTAAATGTTTTGAAAAGCGACCAAGTAAGAAAAGTACAGATGTTGTCAAAAGATACAAAATCGAAATTTCAAATTAAAACATTCTAAAAGTAAATCTGTATAAAAATGTATATAATAATAAAATGTAAGGTGTTTGAATCGGTCAGTCGCCAAAAAATGTCTTTACACATATTGAAATAAAATAGTCAACAGAACAGAATTCATCTGTATAAAGAGGTTAGTGAATATGAATATAATTCTTCAAGAAATTATTAATTCCTTTAGTAAGATTAATTTGATAATTTTAAATTAAAAACCATTTAGTTTAAACATAGAATGGGCCACTCTTTACTTATCTATGGGTGTCGTATGAGGTGAAAAAGGAATAATTGTCTAGGGACAGGCATTAGCATCTCCCTTAAAATAACATCAAAAGCTTAAGTACATTTGCTAACTCTACTACTGCCAGGCTTGGCAACTACTGGTAAACCATAGGGGAGGTCTATGTTCAGCAGTGGACAGTTAATTGCTGATATACTCGTATGTTAATGAATGGACTTTAAATTATATATACACATTAATATAAAACTGTATTTATATTGTAACCATATTTTTTTGTAATGGATAAAAATGGAATGGTAACCTCGTTTACGCTATTAGTTTACGCTGACTAGGGATGATAGGTGACAAAAACCAAATCAGTTGGCCCATCACGATGAATTCATCAAAAATTAATCATGATGGTTTCCAGGAGGAACCACGTGGCGGTCGACTGATTAAGGTATATTGCTAATAATAGGCCTATCAGATCACATTACTAGGAATTCTATTCCCCCCTCCTCTCTTTTATAACCATAAATAATTAATAAGGTCTATTACATACTAAACAATTTTTTACAAGATAAACGTGCCTGACGATTCTTAATGGCTATACATGGAATATTTATTATTTATACTAGTGGTCGCTCCGTGGTCAAAATTCGACCATACCATATATTGTAATAAATGAAATTCTTATGGTTATGTTTGACATTCAGTAAGACACAGACAAATAATTTTAGAGACATACAATATTCTCAATTTGACCATAGACTTTAACAATAAACAAAAGAGTATTAGTGCGTGTGCGTGTGTCAGATACATGGTAGTGTGTGTAATGTTTTTTATTGACATAATGTATTTTTATGCATAATTAAAAAAATATTAGCATTCTGCACTCTTCTCTATATGAACTATAAGTCTGCTAAATTTCATACTTCTGCGTTCGCGCACTTTCATAAAAAGGGGTACAAAGTTTTTGTTTTATATATTAATATATTATATCTATATTACGAATTAACTCCGACATATATCTGAATATATTTTATTTGACATGCAATTCAATACAATGTATACTTATTTATCTAATAATTTAAATAACTCTTGTGCTATTTGCTAGTCTGTATTGATACAAATTTATAATTGTAAAATCAACTTTTGTTAAGAAATACAACATTTGAGTTACTTGTCGATTCTTCTTAATTAAAATTTATTTATATAAAAAATCTTAAAAAATGCTCATAATTAAGTTTACTTGAATAAAAAATATTCTTATTCTTATTTTTTAAATTTACCTTTAAAGTTGTTCAACTTTCGGAGCGTTCGCTTCATTTTCTTCCTCGTTCGTTTTTCCCAAGCTATTTCAGCTGCTGTAAAAATAGAATTAAACTTGGAATAAAAATAAATTGGGATTATTGAAAATATGTATAAGATCGGTTTTTACTTTCTTTTTATTACCAAATTAAAATATATTTAAATGTTGTAAAAATAAATAGGCATATTGTTCCTCTATTACCAATTCTCTCTTTCTCCATAATATTCAATTCAAACATCTTATAAGCATTATAAAATAAATTAGCTATATCTTCTCTAATTTCTATTACTGGTATTTCCATAGCTTCTTCTACGATTTTCATGAGTTCGACGTAAGCAGTATCGTAACGCAGAGCTGCGTCATCAACGTGCAGATATATAGCTTTGTCCACAGTATAAGAGACGACAGCGAAGAACGTTTCAGAAAGAGTTGGCTCGGGAGTAGGTATTGGCTCTAAAATCACATAAATAACATCGGTTAATACAGTATCTTTGTAATGAAGTTATAAATATTTACTGTCTGCACCGACTTTTGGACTTTCATTCTATGAAACGATGGATCTATAATGTAGGTAATTCACTGACTGATTGTAACAATATTTTTGTTCTGTACATAACAATTTACTAATAAATGGTACATATAAAATAAAGAACAAAAAGCATTTTTAAATATTTTTTTGTAAATAGCCCTTCCAATAGAAGTAGTAGATTTTATTAAGTTACTAAATCAGATTAATAAATCAAATTTGAAGTGGTAGAAAAGAAAACCGTATGACAGATAATTGTATGCAATATATTTCATCTGTATACGTATGGAATTAGAGACGACAATAATATATTAGAACCTGGTGTAGGAAGTGTTGTATCTGAAGTAATGAGAGACATGAATGAAGACGATGCTGTATCAGGAGTGGGTATCACAGGTGTAGGTATCTTCCATTCTTCTGGTGGATAATGTTTCAGTATTATATTCCTAAGATCATACTCCAGATCCAGATCTTTATGTTGGTGTTTGGGTTTATTGTCCTATAATAAAAGAAAATAAAATAAAAATTATATAATGTTTTCAAAATATACATATAAAACATACACGATACATATTTAAGTTTTCATTGATACTATATTTTTTTATATTATATATTATAGAATTATTATATGGCATTTAAAACAACATATACACAAATATTACAATGGACCTTTTTCTATCGATATTACTAAAATATTGGACCAATCTCATCATTTTTTATTATCTCAACCTGTATCTATCTACTACTCGACATAGATCTTTCTCAAAGCTTTCCACCATTTTCAAATCGATTTGAGTAATATTTTATTTTGAGGTGAATAAACGGTATAGTTAGCAGTTTAATTTTAATAATTGTAAAAGCTAAACTGTTTTTGTTACATGTTATACCTCCGTGGCTCAGTGGTGAGTATGTTGGTTTGCGTAAACGAGGTTCCAGGTTCGATTCCCGGTCGGACCAATTTAGGAATTTTCTGTATTGGCTCGAATCTGGATGTTCTGCATTGTTCCCCTAAATGTTGGTTACCTTGTTTCTCACAACACAGAAAATTCTAGCTTGAGGTCCAGGTGTGATAGTGTTGTGCTATTATAAAAAAAAAATACGATGAAACTTAATATAAAATTTAATTAAAAAATGCTACATGCAATTTACCTTAATACCGCTAACTTAAGATAAGAAAATAGATAAAATATTATATCACACCATCTTATAAGGGCCGTGTGTTGGTAAACCAAGCCGTTCTCTTATCTCTTGATCGAGGACCTCGGCTGGCCGCGTGAAGTGGATCGCGGCTTCTTTAAGCACGTCTTTTTTCTTTGTGAGTCGTGTCATTTTGCTAACGAAAACTTCTAGCATTGCTTTCACCTACAGGTGAAACAAAAGTATAACATGTAAGTAATAATAACAAATATTAAACACTTCGCATATTCGAAGTTTAATAACGCTCTTCAAAAAGCTACAAATATAATCAATAGAGTCATTTTCGAAGTGCTTCAATTCTCTAAATTTAAAATTTTTTAATGCTACACATGTGACAAACAAGCCCGTTTGATGGTAAACGATCACTATATGGCATTACAAGCTAACAGGAGAAATTCAGGTTAGAATCATCTGTTGGTAATATAGTTTATACTTGTTCTCAGAATAATTATTTTGCTCTAGATTATACAATATATGATTTCATTGTCATGTTAAATTCGAAATTAAATTTTTAAACATGAACTTCAGAAGCGGAATAATTTTTCGCCAATACATCCATAATCCCAATTTCTAAATCCTGCGATTTTATAAAAGAACACGGATAAAGTAATAAACAACAATTTTATAAATGACTGGGGTTATTGAACTAATTTTCTTGATAAAACTCAATGTATAATATAAATAGAAATAATAATAAAACATCATACACAAATAATAAATAGAGTACAGTTACAACTTCAATTCAATAATACTCTGAATTCATTTGTATGGTCATGCCGAGTCTATGAACGTGAATCAAGTTAGACGTGCGACCTGTCCCAACTTCACACGAATATATAGGTAGAAAGACAAATTAGGATTAGTAAGTTTGTATTTTAGTTGAACCAATAGAATGTAACAATAATATATACAAGAGTAAACATCCTTACATATATGTATATATATATTTAATATATATACGTAAGGTTATTTATTCCCACAGCGACATTTTTCATATTTTTAAAATTTTTATATTCATGTCATAACAAAAGGTATGATTCGAATAATTTAAAGAGGAATTTACATGCAACCTAATCAATCTTGATTATAAATTATTTAGTTGGATAAGTATTAATAACACAATACAATTATCATCACGTTTCTATCGTACCCATAAACGTAGTATAATGTGCTTCCACCCGTACTTTGATTGACTAATTGAACCAAAAACGGTTATTATGACTAAACTATGATAGAGATATCGTTTGGGGAACTTTTTTCTGAGTAATGATGAGTACTATAAATATGTTGTTCATTACTTTATGTATCATCTATATATTTTGGAGCGCTCGTCAAATAATTTTTTTAGGCATATTTCGGATACCTTAGGTTATATTATTGTAATTTTCATAGCATCTCTATTTTTTTTAAAACAAAATTTAGTCTGTATTACTCGTTGATAATGTAACATTTACTAGGTGATAGATTTTTCAAAGGTTGAGTAGTTTTTGTGTTTATTCATTACAAAAAAATGAACATATGAAATATCTAATTTTTCTCTTCATTTTTTTTTACAACACAGGGAGCAAACGAGCATGCGGCTCACCTGATGGAAGTACCGCCGCCCATGATCACCCACAACACCAGCGGCATTGCAGGTGTGCTGCCGGTCTTTATTATATTCTTTTTAAATATTTAAATTAAATCAATGAGGATAATAAACACTTTGGTACACAATTCTCTGTGCTAAAGTGTCTGCATCTTGCAAAGTACTTAGTTAGATATTTTTACGACATTTGAAATGGAAAACACTGTTAACAGCTCACCTGTTGGAAACTGGTAACCGTCATCTATAGACATGAACAACACTATTGATACATAAATGGATATATATATCTTAATCACCCGGACTCATAAAACACATAAGGCATTACCACAATAACCTGCCATTCGAATCAAAACAACAGCGTGCAAGCGTAGCAGAAACATATTGCAAGAGACGTCCTTAAAAAGACTACTTTTTTACAAATTCTCCTAGTAAAATTAATTCATAGTTATAGTTATGACCTCAGGATGTTCGATTAAATAAGACTCTTGTTCCATTTGTATGGTTATGCCAAGCCTAGAAATACATTCTCGTTGGTTTGAACTTATTGCTGTCCAATCGTGGTACAGCAATCCTTCGGCAGCAAGCAGATCGGGTGGTAGACCTTTCATAACTTTTTTCAGCGACATGTTTATAGTAATTATTGTATATATAAATATGGATAATAAATATTTCTTTTATGATTGTTTATGTCATTATGATAATGTCATTCCTTTCAAATATTTCCGTGTTTTTAGTTTTTTTTTTATATAATTTTATCTTTAATTTTGCCAGTAATTTTTTATATGGCAACAGGTAGTTTAAATGAAAATGACTATGTTAATAAATAGGTTGATTTACTAATCCAATATCTGATACAAACTCATTTCTACGGTATATTTAGATATAGAATTATAGCCCTATTTTATTATACTTAATTTCAATTCGATCATAATGGTTGTTTATGTTCCACATTATAATTAATGGAATTTTCCAAATGTAATATACCAATATATTACATTTGGAAAATTTCATTAATTTTTCATTGTAATTAGAGACACGAAAAGTAAAGCACTGATACTGGCACGTCGATTCAGGAGCGGCACTGCCATAGATTAGGGATTACCTGCGGGCATTGCATGAGGGGTGCCATGAGCACAGTGTAATGTGTAATGTCTGCTGTGTTGTGATATTAATATATTTTTTCTATTAGTTTTTATCCTTGGCCTCGTTCATGGGGCGGGGTTAAGTCTGTGTTTCTAAATAGTACAAGTGAGCCAAATTTCATGGCCATTTATTGAGCGGTTATAGCGCTATGAGGTAATTAATAAACGAACGAATACTTTCTTTTACATTTATAATATTGTCTAATAGGAATTATCCTAGGTATTAGTATTAAAATAGCGAAATTTTGTAATTAAGATCCTGTGTCTCCTTAACAATGTTGTTGACAGAATCATCCACTTAAATTGGTGGTAGCTACCTAAATTGACGACGAAAAAGATCACATTCTAAATCTTAGATATCTTAATCACAAATTATTATTATTCTTCGGTTTGAAGGATGGTATATGACAGGTTATTACGGCGTAGCCTCGGCATAGAATAGGCTAACCCTTCCTTTTCTGTAATGTAATGTCGTAAGAGGCGACTAAGGGAAAACAATGGATGGACGTTCCTTTTAAAACATCTCCATAGCTTTTCTGCGGGTACCAATCCGCCTGCCAAACATAGCAACTACTGGCCCCAAGAGGAAGGCTTAAAGTTCAGCAGTAGATAGTTACAGGTTGATATGATAATGATGATAAAATAAAATTATGATATGGTAGTGAAATTGTGGGAGGTCATAATTTAGTCTCCCGGAATGGTAACATGTAATGGGCATCTCAATTTTGTATACTACGATCTTTATTATATTTTTCATGTCTGTATTATAATTATATATTGTATTACTGTTTGTTAACTTTATTAAAAAAAATGTCTATAAACTATTACTACTTTCCATCAGGTAAGTCATCAGGTTGGTTGCTAGTTCAGGTTGTATAAAAAACCTATTATACTGCTGTATTATATTAATATATTAAAAATGGCTACTTATTTACTCCTAAGACTAATATATGCTAGAAATTGATGAATTTGTTCAACTGAACTAAAACCGAGCTAGAGTTTAAATAATTCATCAAAAACTAGCGATCGGACGCGGCATCGTACGAGTTGATAGAATTTTTGAAAATAATGTACACGTATATTTTATGTTACTCGAGGATAATATACGTGAGATGCATTTTAAAATCGCTCTAGTGATTTTTAAGTTTATCTATTATATACAAACAAATAAACAATCAAATCTTTTACCAGAGGGAGACTTTGTACAAAAGTAGATTGCTTGGGTACCTCTGTCCCATTCGTGTTTCAACTGTGAAGCAGTTGTGTTTGCATGGCTGTGTTTCGGTTTGAAGGGTGGGATATGGCGTGAATTTACTAGGTACAGAGGAATAACACCTGAGTCCTCAGGATTGGCAACGCATGGGGGTATCATGGGCGAAACAGTATGTTATGTCCATGGTACTGCTCATGTCTATAGGCAACAGTTACCACTTTCCATTAGGTGGGCCGTCAGCTTGTTTGCAATTCTAAGTTGTATAAAAAAATCTTTCATCTTTATAATATTTATATAGATATAGATAATGTTAGAAGATAGATCTAAAGATATGATTAGTGGATTTATGTAAACCCCTAGTTTATTGTTACAAATATTGTGGAGAAATACATCGTAAATCTCCCTTAAGAATATTTTATAGTAATATTAGCCGATACACTTATAGAATAAACAAAATAAATAATCTCCCTTGCGGGCGAGGGTGAACGATAGGGTGCCTGCATGCTATTGACAATAAAAAGAGAAAAAATTTGGGGTGTGAAGATAAGCTTTATAATTGAAAAAAAAAAAGAAATTTGTTGCAGTAATCATACTATAAATTACTGTGTTAAATAAATATTTTAGATTTTTACTATTACAATTCATTTTACAGTATATTAATGAAAATTATTCTATTGTAAGATTAAATTGGATATAATTTTACAAAATGGAAGATTTGTAAAATTATATTAAAAATCAAACACATTTTTGCTATCAACTTTCAGTTTGATCGTACCTTAATAACATACGTATAATAGCAACTACTAACTACTATATATGTACTATACTAATTTACCACTTAATTTCTTTTCCTTTGTAGCGGCAAAAATTCAAAAATATTTTTAACAATAGGAATAATTTTAAATTTTGTTTTATATATAATTTGTGTTCATAATTAGGATGATAATTAATTATTATTACTATTTTACGTAATGGAAACTTCTGTGCAGAAGATAAATTCAAGTTTTTTTCGTGAACTTTAACATATCGGTAAGAAAATTTATCTTTAAATTAGAAAATGAAAATAAAAACAAAGCAAGGGAAGAAATTATCAAAATTTTAGTATAGCACACCACCCATATATAGTTTTATTAAAAAACTGACGAGCCCTTTTGATATTTTTGCGGTCGCTTTGTAAATATGCAATGCGAGGGTGAAAGGGAATTAGCAATATTGGTTGTGAAAAATGCAGTAAATGCGAGTTAATCTTGCATTACCAGGGTTCCGTATAAAATATAATATTAATTTATTAAATTATGCTTTACATTTCGACTTTTATTTATTTAGTAATTTCTAAAAAAACCTTAATAACTTATTATATCCGATTGTTTTTACGAAAATTTCCTTGCGGGATAGGCGTAGAAAACTAAGTGCTTAACCTATATTTTGCTTCATTTACCATACATAACCCGTCTATATAATATTTTAAAAACAATTTTCAATTCTATATAAATTTAAATATTAATAATAAAAACATCATAGTCATCACTTGCGTAACACCAATAAATTACGTTGTCCTTTTGAAATATTTATCCAGCTCCTATTATAACAAATTCAAACTATAAACTTAATTGAATAAATTTTATAAATTTCTTTTATTAATAATATAAATAATGTTATATATATAAACAATCTCATGCATGTATACATATTTTAATTATTTTTAATATTTGTTGTCTTATCTCTATTTATTCTGCTCATTAAAGGACTGCGGCTATTTCTAAAAAAAATCTTATATATAAGAAATGTATTTCTTAGAAATACATTTCTTATATATAAGTAAAATTGGAAAACATTATTTATTTACACGTAACTTTTGCAGTTTCCTTTGAATTTATTTTACAACCCTCATAAACAAGGATTAATTATAAATGAAACTACATTAGTCTATTACTCAGAATTCAAAATATAACAAGACCTAACAAGTTACCATGATATATAAAAAATATTACACCAATGAATAATTCTAAGATTTTAATTTTAACTATACAAATGTGGAACCCTAAGTGCCAGATGCGTAGGATGATATTATGATTATTTGTTATAATACATTTATAATTATACTCTGATATGAATACGAATAATAAATTAAGGTATAATCCATCTTATAATATTATATATCTGTAATATTGTAACTACAAACGTTGTCTTTTTTATGGTAATATAATATCTAGACATAAAAGCAGATATAATATATTTTTCATTTCAAATAAATTCTTAAGAAAAAATACTTGTATTAGAAAATAACACTATATTTGTTTGTAACTATAGTGCATAAGAGTCAATCAAAACTACTACTTACTAAAGACACTTTAGCTCCAATTTTACTGTTCAAATTTAAAATAACAATATTTAGTATTTTAGGAGTAGAAACATTTCAAATAGAAATTTACCAATACAAAAATAAAAAGACAATCAAAAACAGATTAATTGATAGTAGCGACCCACCCCAGCTTCGTACGGGCGCAATGCTGGTACTAAATAGCGCCGCCGGCCCTCCATTACAGTACGACATTACATTAGAAACCTTTAAAATTATCAGTGTTCCTCTACTATATTATGCATGTTTTATACATATAAACCTTTCTCTTAAATCACTCTATCTATTAAAAAAAACCGTATTAAAATCCGTTGCGTAGTTCTAAAGATCTAAGCATACATAGGGACAGACTTTACTTTAGGGAATCGACTTTGTTTCAAACTATGTAGTGATAACAACGTGGAAACAAATTAATATTAATACGACTTACCTAAATTATTTACTTCATCAGGGTTAATCTGATTATACACAAATATATTATTATATCTGCGATCAGTGTCTAATAATCTGGCGTATGTAATTAAGGTAGATCTATGATCTGTCAACAATATTATTGAGCATATAAGTTTGCTGCTGCCTCTTAATATCTGCAACCGAAACAATTTCTCTACGTTGTAAAATTGAAACTTACTTGACTTCGTGGTACAGTGTTGGGTATCTTACTTTACGTAAATGAAGCGCTTGATTTGATTCCTGGGCAGTACAATTTGGGAGACTTTTTTTTTAAATTGTTTTGAGTCAGGGTTGCTTGGTTTTTGATAATATAGGAAGTCCTACCCTGTACCCCAGGCGGCTGATGTGTTTGTATGGCAGTTGTATAGATGCAAGCAAATTAACAATAAAATTGGCTTCGGCAAATATTAAGGATAGTATCTGCGGATTTCAGACTATAGATGTCAGTTACTGATTCAGTAAGATCAGTAACTGACAGAATATTTATAGTATGAAATTCGGACATGCTTTTTATTCATAGGTTCGT